ACCATCACCACCACCACCACCATCACCTGTCCTCTTCCTCCTCATCCCCATCCTCGTCGTCGTCCTCGGCCAACGCAGCAGCAGCCGCACTGGGGCCTGGCGGGCCTTATCACGTCCCCCATGGGATGCCACAGTTCTCGGTCGGCGGGTTCTGCAACGGCGGCATCGGGACCGTCGGTGACCTGCCGTCCTATCAGGATACGGTGAGGAGCGGAGGGGCGGCGCCGTGGTACAGCAACCCGGAGCCAAGATACCCGACAAGTAAGAGGAACCAAAAGTTTTAACATTTTAAGATGAGAAGCGTTGGTCAGAGCGGCCTCCTGCTCTTACGCACTACCAGAAAATGACCAAACATTATTTTAACCAGACTTCGTCAGTCTTCAGCTCAGTAACATTTAAAATGCTTAAATTTCAAAGTTCATTTTTAATGTGTCTGTGGCAATAAAACGCGACTTTATAATAAATTCACTAATATTTGAATCACCAAATAGGCCCCAGGATAATGACCGTGAAGAGTTTATGGTCTTCCATAGTGACAACGTTGATTATATTAATCAACTAGATTTGATTTTATTGATCCTAAAATTTCCGTCGACTAAATTATAAGAGGAAGCAAACTTGCTGGGCTAATTCATTTTATAAACTAGGTTATTATTATTATTCTTAGTGTTTCTCTATATTCATCAGTATTTTCCAAAAACACCTTGATGGCCTATGATTTAACAATGTTTTCTGCTGAAATGCTTCCCGTTAATTTCAGATAAGTTCAATTAAACTTTATTTTTTTTGTCAAACATTAAATTATATTTCCTCTAAGTTTCCAGATTCATGGGCCCCTCCGCCGGGATGAACATGCCCGCCATGGTGGGGAGTCTGACCGGGATGGACTCCACCGCCAAGTCCATGGTGACGCTGCACGCCGCGCCGCGCAGGAAGCGGCGGGTGCTTTTCTCACAGGCGCAGGTGTACGAGTTGGAGCGGCGCTTCAAGCAGCAGAAATACCTATCGGCCCCGGAGAGGGAGCACCTGGCCGGACTGATCCACCTCACCCCCAACCAGGTCAAGATCTGGTTCCAGAACCACCGCTACAAGCTGAAGCGGCAGGGCGAGGG